AGATTTCTTCCAGAAGGTTAGTTCCGTGAACAACGTCACACGTTCACGGAGTAATAGTGGTACTCTTAGAATCAGGCACAGTGTGTTACATGTCAGTTCGTGGTCAGAATAAGTGAGTGAGTGAGTATGGTTTTACGCCACTTTTAGCAATATTCCAGCAATATCACGGCGGGGGACACCAGAAATGGGCGTAACACATTGTACCCATGCTGTGCAGAGTTGCGTCCCTTGGGTACGCCAAAAACCTATGATTGTGGGTTCGAATACCGGTTCGCCCCGATTATGTTTCTAGGTTTGTCAGCACAATGCCCGTGCTCGTGGGTTTCATCGAAGTGGTTAACGTCTGAGACCTGCATCACTTCGGCCTTTCCTCCTACATTAAATAATTGTAAATAATCGAGTCTGTATCAAATAATCCAGTGATTCACATCATAAGCATCGATCAAAGGCAATTGGGATACGATGACATGCATCAACCTAGTCAGCGAGCCTGACCACCCGATCCCGTTAGTCGCCTCTTACGATAAGCATAGTCGCCTTTTACGGAGAGTATGAGCTGCTGAAGACCTATTCTACCCCGGATCTTCACGGGTCATGCACCCTACGGACACCTATCCGCTATGTGTGTTTGATGCTACTGATAAAGCCGCACGCGACAGCATCACTATTTAAAAAAACAAAGCTCAAAATAAGCAAGACAGTGACCCCGCTTTTGTATGGTTTAATATGATTATGCCTTGAAATTGAATATCAAAGCGATGCACAAACGTCGAAAATTGGACATCAATATCGAAAAAAGTATTCGAAAATAGAAGTTCCATCATAGCGTTTTACAACCTCATCAGTGACATCCGTCGGAGTCACATTTCAGCACCTTGTATTTTTTATCTTCTTTGGAAATTTCATTTACTTACGAAACCATATAATTCGAGCCTTTGAGTGGGAAAGCAAGCCCCCAAATCCCGTTTTTTTAACGAGGTGACAAAAATGACGTCTGAAAAACGTTACTAGGGAATAAGCTCGTTCACATCCCTTACCAAAATGGCGGATGGTGTCCGGTATTCTGCATTCTTGCCTAAATTAATAATATCAGCCATTGTTTTTTCTGGTCCAACATTGATAGATAGACCACTCATATATTTGCCGACTGAGGCGCTAAAAATCATTCACTCACTCACTCACTCTGCTTCCAGGATGACCTCAAGGTAGCCATCGAGGAACCAGCCGCTATGGGGGCTTCCGGCGTGGTCATCTGGGGAAGTTCCGGGTTCTTCCACACGAAGGATGAATGCCACAAGATGCAGGACGACATCAACAACGTCCTCGGCCCCTTCATCAAGAACCTCACCGACTTCACCCAGGCATGTGCCAACGAGCTCTGCAACAACCACGGCCGCTGTATCAGGAAGGACTTCGAGGCCTCCACCCAGAACTTCCTCCGTCTGTACGAGAAGGAGGCATGCGTGAGACCGAGGGAGGAGTACGAGGATATCGGGGGCAGGAGGAGGGGCTTGTTCGGGGGGAGGTACCCCACACTGAAGAAGTACGACTATTATGTGTGCAGGTGTCTGCCCGGGTGGTCGGGTGAATATTGCAACAAGAATTAAGAGGGGTGGATAAATAAGTCACATCGAGATTATGCGACATTTGGGGGATTGTAAATGCACTGTACAGACAATACTCTTTGATGTGTATTGTTGTGATACTTTGTGGTCAACACTTGCTTATAATATTTCATATTGCTACGAGGGGCGGTGGGGTAGCCTACTGGATAAAGCGTTGTTTCGTCACGGCGAAGACCCGGGTTCGATTCCCCACATGGGTACAATGTGTGAAGCCCATTTCTTGTGCCCCCCGCCGTGATATTGCTGGAATATTGCTAAAAGCGGCGCAAAACAATACTCACTCACTATTGCCATAAAAAAATTCATCATATCACGTGCACCAGTTTTACAAATATATACACAATTCGATATATTGTCGCATATTTATTTTCCGTTTTCACTATTTTGCGTCCATTGTTTTTTTAACATGATACAATACATATCCGTGGACGCCGTCCTACAATAGCGACTGCCGTTCACTCGTTCACTCGTATGTATGTGAGGCGCATTTTTGCAGAAACCCCTGAAGGATTTCCTGGTGGGTAGCCTTGAAACGTTCTGTATTAACAATACAACAATTGAACTAATTCTCTAGGGACCACCAACCTCTAATTGCATGTTTATGACTCCCTGATCAGAAGACTACCATGTACTGATTTAGGTATCACGTGAAAGAGTATTCAGTATTCAACCTTGGCCATTTAACAAACCCTATAACATCCATAGAGATCGTTATACTCGCATACAGTGCATTAGGGTTAGAAATAACCGAGTTCATAAATAGAGGATTCATCACGAGTGTTTTTTAATATGGGAAATATCAACCGAGTCTTAGTTAATCGGTATTTACCGATTAATACCGATTAACGGGACGAGGTTGATATTTCCCATATTAAAAAACACGAGTGATGAATTCTATTTATCATTTTCAAATTTTTGCTTCCAAATTAAGGAATAATTGCATTAAACATTAACATCAGCAACTTGTCGAAATCTTACGTATAGATCGTGCGTAGTGATACATGTTTTCCATAGCCATGTAAACCAAAATAAACAATTCGCTGAGAAAAAAAGTTCCTCGGATTATTTTAAACAAAATACTTGAACAGACTTTTGCAGAATAATTGAAACTTTAATAACGGTAACAACAACGATTCTGTGTAATCTGATTATATCTCTTGTGTAACTTCACTTATAATATATAGTTTCAAATCAAACCGCTCCCTCTTCCGGTTATCTAATTTGCATATCTAATTTGCATACTTATGTCATTGGGGTATGACATACATGTTTTTATGTCATAAGCTTATGTCATGGATTAAATGCTTAAGTTAAATGATAAAAAAACATGTGCACCAATGCAAATATCACTTCAAGCGCTCCAGTGTGTTCGAATCGAATCTTATTATGACGTAAGAACGGAATGACGTCACACTAGAAATGACGTAGCTGAAAATTGTTGACGTCATTCGCCAATTGTGGTTTTCTATAACACGGCGGTCGTGATCAGTGCATGTTTTCTGAACTAAAGCTCTAAACAAAACAGTGTTATCACTATCCCCCTCCGTGGGCACATTAGAATTTTGTTTGTTCATATAGTTCACTATAAACAAGAGTCCTATAAGCCCACGGAAGAGATATGGCATTTAGGCCTCTTTATGTCATTAGAAAAAAAGGATTAAATGTGAAATTAATACACACAAACGGCCCCTTCTCTGGATACTTGATAAGTATCTCTCAGATAAGCTAAAGTCAGTAAAAATAATTGACGGGGCCAATGTTCGATGGGCTTGCAGAGTTTTATTCGTGTAACGTCAGTAGTTTCTGAGAAAACTTGTCCCCATTTCACACAGTATATAACTCTGTAAAAAATGAATGTACGACATCAAGTTTCGAACTCTCACTTGAATAGTCATTGATTCATTCATGGCGGGGAACAATAATGGGTAATATAGAAATTATTACACTCGCATGTTGCCATACTGGTTTTATGAAACTCGTGTATGAATTCATAATTCATGTATTACCGTCGCTCTCGCTCGGGAAATACGAGAATTGTGACACTCGTTTCGTAAAATCAGTGTGACACACATGCTTTTATAAAAGTCTTTATATATTTATTCGTTTTATTATAAGAAATCTCCTAACCTTCAAGTCCCTAACTTAGTATTAAGTCTGATTCGAATGACACTAACCATAGCCGTCCAGTAGTATTGCTCTCTTATGGGCAGTCGGGTAGCCTAATGGTTCGCTCGTCACGCCGAAGACCCGGGTTTGATTCCCAACATGGGTACAATGTTTGAAGCCCATTTCTGGTGTCTCCCGCCGTGATATTGCTGGAATATTGCTAAAAGCGGCGTAAAACCATACTCATTCAGTATTGCTCTCATGTGAGAGAGACATGAAGTTCCCAAAATAGACAAAGGGGGCGAATTGGTCCTATACATTTGTCGAAGAATTGAGATTTTAATTGCCCTGTAGTCATAGCAACACAGTCACGTGCTAACTTGAGGTTTGCAGTAAAACGGTGTAGACAATGTTTCGAGCTTATTAATGGCAGTAAATATTGATCAGTTTAAAATGCACGATTCACACGGATTTCTTTCAGAGATATATAGTCACAGCAATTGCCTACTTGGCCACAATTGGTTGGTTGCGTGATTAATGTCATTTTTGTATTTACACTTTGTTTGTTTTTTATCAATATTATGTGTAAGTTTCACAAATTAAATTTTTGATATTGCTGTTTGTATATTCCAACTGTCTCAACATTCCATCAAGTTGTTCCGGGAGACCGGTACAGTGTTTGTCCATGTTCTCGTACACTGTACGCGTTGCATTGCATTGTGTACGGGACTGACCATTTGATATTCTGGGGGGGGGGGGGGGGGGGGGGGGGGTCTTTATGCTTCAGACTGTTCACAACCCTATCTGGTTTTGCAGCTGTAACGGAATAAAGCATTCTATCTCCAGACGAAATCCCATCAAATGGCCGGTCCCTATTAAGGCTAAACATTTCAACTTATCCTTTGATACAAAACACGACCTACCAGTATTTTATTAATTTCTTTCAGGTTGCTCTACTTCCATCGTGTTTGTATTTTTGATAATTATGGAACTTGTAATAGTGATTTATTAATGCATTTATTACTTTAGGAATGATTTATTGCCATACACATTTTCAGAAGAAAAATGTATTTACCTGTCATTGCCTTACTTTATTTTCTGATATTAATAGTTTCCTTTTAACAGTAATAAGTTACGTCATAGTCAAAAGTTACGAATTGTTGGGTTTTGGCTAGTGCATTTGGCACTGATTTATTTCACATTTGCCATTTTTTTTATACATGAATATAAATATGTAAATATATAAAGAATATTGTCACAACATCCAACACAAACCGTTTTTGCTTTCACTGTTTTACTTTATTTTGTACTTTTTGAAATGACAATCCACAAAAAGTAACTAATTGTTGAACATAAGTGATGATGATCTTATATATCTTGCCATGTGTAAATATTAAACTGTTCAGCGTGACAATGTGACATATCTTATCTATCCCCACCGCCACACAAGCGATACACTGACACCACTCCTTGATAAATTAGTACCAGTCCATGATATATAAACATCTTCTCCGATCAACCCGACGGTTTCCGTGAAGTCTTTACTTGCAACACACAGATTACACGTTCAGGACAAATTGCCATTTGGTTATGTCTTCCGGTTTTGAACATCACGGGTCACTTCCGTTCGTTCGCTGAGGTCACTTGAGGTCATCCTGATTTGACATAAGGGCTAGTCTTTCACTCTTTACCCTGTCCTGAAAAAATGTGAGAATATTCATATTTATTTAAAAACAGAAAAACGTTTTGAGGAAGAAACAAATTCTTTGAGAGTCATTTAGAAGTTGAAGTACAAAGTAAGGATAGGATGGATGAACAACTTCTTTATTACAATTAGGAGCGACGTTTCGGTGTAGTTTCGAACACCGTTATCAAGCAAGTGATGTACAGAGTATGGTTGACAAGTATATACAACCATCAGCTGACTCGTCTAGCATCAAAACACGGGCTGTGTACTCGCGGGCAGATGAACACGGAGTACGCTGATCACCTTGTCGGATTAACGAGACTGATTAATGAGTGATTTCGGTAATTCGTTGCAAATTAGGTGTGTCGGAGTCGGAGTGCGAGACTGTCGGATTAACGGGTCTAAATAGCACTGGTTTAATCGGTTCCCATCATTTGTGTCGGATAAAGGCGATTGTCGGATTAACGAGACTTGACTGTATACAGGTAGGAGGCAGTGTTTATACAATAGAGTAGATATCAGATGTAGTTACACTGGAGTGGAGAAGCCTGTTAGGTATACAAAAGGGTAGTAAACACATGGACCGGTGAAAAGGGTAAATATAAAGTAATATAAACAAAAGGACTGTGACTGATTTGGGTCTTTGATGATTTGCTACCCCCGGCGTATCTACCCCGAAACTTCGCTATTAATTCTGATAAAGAAGTTGTTCATCCATAAATCTTATCCCTACTCGGGGGTGAGTGAGTGAGAATGGTTTTATGCCGCTTTTATCAATATTCCAGCAATATCGCGGCGGGGGACACCATATATGGTCTTCACACATTGTACCCATGTCGGGAATCGAGCCCGGGTCTTTGGCGTGACGAGCGAACGCTTTAACCACTAGGCTACCCGACCTATCATTTCAGCTATAATGAGTGATGTCACGACGTGTCAGCTTGTGGCAGGAAAACCTGAAGTCATGCAGGTCTTAGATATTTACCACTTTGGTGAAACCCACGTTAACAAGTATGGTGCTGGCAGATCTAGAAACATATTCATGACGAATCTGGGGTTTGAATTCACGATCATAGGTTCCTTGCACGCCTAAGGGACACAACTGGAACTGCGTGTCGGGAATGAAGTATCTAAGTTTCCATCACACATACATACATAGATAGATAGATAGATAGATAGATAGATAGATAGATATAAATCTTTCAGGAATATGACCTACTGGGGACTGTGATTGTGGAGCAACTCATCAATACCCTATGTCTGTCGTGTATGGCAAGGGTTCGAGACCCCCTCATCCACTGTCTATGCTTTAGACGAGATCACGCTGCCGATTTGCTGTGATACATCAGGTGCTTGTGCGTGATTTGTTTATTTGTTGTTCAACGCCGAACTCAGCAATATTCCAGCTATATGATGGCGATCTGTAAATAATCGACAATCCAGTGATTGACATCATGCGCATCGATCTACACAATTGGGATACGATGACATGCGTTCACTACGTCAGCGAGTCTGACCATCCTATCCCGTTAGTCGCCTCTTACGACAAGCATGGGTTGCTGAAGACCGAATCGTCACGGGTCGCTATTAATGAACTCACCTCGACCAGCTCATAACACTTGCAGGAGCTCCCGAGGCAGATACCGATCTCGGGTCGACAACGACTGGCACATTCGCTGTGTTTGAAGCAGAAGAGGCTGGTGGCGATGCAATTGCAGTAACCTTCGTGGCAGATAGGGATGCCGCCGATGCAACTGCATTGGCTGTGGTGTGTACATTCCTTCTTGATATGACCTGGTGAGGGAAGACAGCAGAATAAGACACCAACAGACTCTGCGGACGACTACACAGATAGGAACTAGTGAATTCAGAATTATCATCCGAACCATCATCCCGAGGCAAGGGAGTTAACTGATTAGAAAAGTCCAGTTTCCACCCTTGCCGACCTAGGCGAGAATTATGGAGTTATATTTTGGCTGGATTAACGAGTCTATGCGTAGTCCAATCAAAATCGTTCGTAAACTATTTTCGGACGATTGCAGGATTTGTAAGGTCTGTGTACAGTCAACTTAGCGTCAACAGATATTTTCCAAATCTTTTCATGTTTTTAATCCAGGTGCACACGTAATTTGATGCACTTCGCGAAGTAAGACCCGCTTTGTTACAATATAGATACTGATTATCGATCAAATTGTCCTCACTGGGCGACGCCATTTTAATTGAAGTAAATGCAAGTGATATGAGAGGTGGTATCTGATTGGTCAATAGGAGGGACATAGAGGGGACATAACACGTACGATCGAGCCCACAAATTTCAGCAGAGATCGGTGGAAACTGGACTTTTGTAGTCAGTTAACGCGATTGCCTCGGGAAGATACATCCAAGCTGGCTTCCTCGGGAGGTACCGTTTGAGTGTTATCTCCGGGGAGATAATGATGCAATGAAATTGCATCACAATGCCTTGAAGACCATTGTGACGTCATCGATTACGAGGACGTCACAATAAAAAGACATCACTCACTCTCCTACCCAGAGTTCCATGCGGCCGGCAGCCAGCCAAGCATAGTACCTCTGCCACAGGCCAGCGCCATGTGACGATTCGTCACATCTTTCACAGTCCATTCAAGATATTGCATATGCTTTTCATCCGTTTCATGGTTGATAAGTCAGCACATTTCATAAACAAATGTCAACGAATGGTTACGATTCATTAAGAAAGTATCCTAATACGTTAAAATCTACTTGTTTTTGCGTAGGTATCCTTTGTTTACATTGGTTTTACGGCTCCACGTGCTGTCATCGAAGCCCGACGGAGAACTAGCTATACGGTCACTTTGATGTTTAAATATATATTGTCATGCAACTCACTGTCGCAGTTGTAGTAGCATATCTATATAATTATGCAAAACAATATGTAAAGCGCCCCCAAATACTGCATTAGTCCGTTCTATATTGATTTCTGAAAAAAGCGCATTTGTTTACAAACAAGAGAAAAGTTCGGTCACGTGATATACAAATTAGCCTGTGGCAGTGGTGTTATGCTGAGTCACCACTGCGCCGGAGAGTGTAATCTCTCTGCCACTTTTGACTCCCAAGACACTGGCTCTTACCATTTACAAAACTGAAAATGACGGCGGCACATGATCCACTGGTGACATTATTTTAGAAAAAAACGACGATTGGTCGTTGTTTATGGTACAACAAAGCACTGTAGGGAGAATAAACCATGAGGTACATCTTATGCACAGGTGAGTATTTCTCGCATATTCTCACCATCCTCACGTCGATTACCTGTACCTTCTCTCCCAATACCGATTGTCACATCCCTCAAGCTTTTGGATGCGATCGCTCGGCCATCGCGTTTATCTGCGTTGCCCAGCTACATCTATGGGGAACAACTTACTAGACACTCCCTTTAAACTTGTTGTGTCGTGAAATAAACTATGCTTCGTTCTTCATTGTTCTTTGCGATATATCGCTATGCTGGCTTATATTGTCTGATACTTACTGTGCAGCTCTATGTCTCCAGGAGAGGTGCTGCTTGCTGGGGCTGAGTCGGTGGTGTCAGGAAGAATTGCTAAAAAAATCGAAAACTTTAAAATCACTATTTCAGAAAACATCAATGAGGTCTTGTCGATAGTGTCTCCTAAATGGAATGTTGGGTAAAGGTTACTTCACAACAGACTTACATCGGTAGTAGTGTTCCACTGCCGGGACGAAGGACGGGGACCTACAACTGATTGCTAACAAAATCTCAACCTTGTCGCCAAACGTATTTTTTCTGTATTGTGTAGAGAACATACACCTTGCCCCTGAGATCTCAAACACGTCATATGTGCCTCCGCATGGAGATCTCAAAATGTCACGTGTGCGCCTGTATGGAGATTTCAAACACGTCATGTGTGCCTCCGCACGGAAATCTCAAAATGTCACGTGTGCCCCCGCATGGTGACCTCAAACACGTCACGTGTGCGCCTGCATGGGTGTCTAAAACCAGTCACGTGTTCCCCCTGCATTGAGACCTTGACCCTGTCACGTGTTCCCTCCGTATTGAGATCTTGACCCTGTTACGTGTTCCCCCCGTATTGAGACCTTGGCCCTGTCACGTGTTACCCCCGTATTGAGACCTTGACCCTGTCACGTGTTACCCCCGTATTGAGATCGTAAACCTGCCACATGTAGCAATCACAGTGTTCACCGTTTGTGACGTCACAGGAAACAGCTGATCACATGTTTTTGCAAATGGCGAACGGAATAACTCGCCGATACAGTTGTTTATTTGCCTCTTTCAATAAAGGTAGACACTTGTTCACTATCAATTCATGAACTTTGCAAAACGTACGTAATAGCTATTGGCGATTTCATCTAGGGATTATATATTATAGCTGTGAATTGCATATATCATGTATAATGTTAGATATCTACATGTAAAGGTTGTGGAGTTTATGAAGAACGATAAACTTTGAACATTCAATTGAAAACTTATTATCGGAAGTAGTAACATGCATAACATTTTTTTAATAATGACAACATTGGTGTATAATAATAACTTTATTGATAATTTATAACAATAATGGCTCTAGTCGTGGCAACTTCCAAACTTTCGGGAAGTTGTAATCTATCGGACCGTCATTCAGGCGATGTTTCTGACAGATCACGATCTGAAAAATACTATCATGAAAGTGTATCCCGTGGATAAGCCGACCCCTTTCTACAGAATCTTTTTTCTGGTCCTCACAATTCTGCTTATACGCGGTCATATACGGTAACCCTAGTAATGAGATAATAAATGCATTTGGGTATTTTGGATAATCTGAAATTAACATACCATTCTAACAGAAAACAGGAAAAACACAAACTATTGTGACAGTTTAAATCACCTCGATCACTTCAAAACGCTTTACTATCTTGCAATTGTCAGCTGTCTTGTCTAAGTACAGCCGTCCCTAGTCTCAAAATATATCGCCCTTCAACAGTGAGTGAGTGAGTGAGTTGGGTTTAACGCCGCTTTTAACAGTAGTCCAGATATATCACGGCGTGCCAGCTTAAAGTGGGAGGAAAGCCCGAAGTGATGCAGGTCCCAGACGTTTACCACTTCGGTGAAACCCACGAGCACGGGTATGGTGCTGACAAACCCAGATACATAATCGGGGCGAACCGGGATATTCGAACCCACAATCAAAGGTTTCGCACAGCGAATCGCGGCGCCTCAGAAGTGCCCCCCTTCAACAGTTCATACTTTCTTGAAATAAACCGATGCCAGGACACTGTGTTAACTATTAATGAGAAAGTAGTTGATCACGATTCCGTCGAGGATTCACCACATAAACTTGTATTTTACTGATGCGACTGAAGACGTCACATACTGTGACGCTGCAGATTCATTATGTGCAAACTTGATGCTGCAGGCGAGAAAAATCGACTTACCAGGCGTGACTTGCGCAGTCAGTGCAACCAGTAAAAGAGCTGAAACCTTGAAGAGAAGTTGTCCCTGCATCGTCGTAACAAAGAATTATCCTCAGTAATTTTAACTTAAGAAAAGCCGTTTTCAATTTCGAAACGCTGAAATCAATCGCAGACTCAGGATGGTCGTGTCACGCTGCACGTCGCACGGCTTTAATGGAGAGGGGTAATGACGTTCCCTTGTATTTATAGGTTACGTTGACGGGAATATACCAGAGAATGTAAGGATAGCCTCTCATTAGTAGAGATAGGATAATTTATTGCTTCGTTCTACATGGGAAATAACACGTGTCCACACGAGTTGTCCCTGACGTCACTGCCTCGTTCCACTACCAACACCTGTGGAGGTCATGTGATCTCCATATATGGAACAGAGAAAATGTTGCTATTCAGTTTGAATTCACACAGGCTAGAGATTATAACGCCGCCATGTTGTTACATGTATTCTAATCATATTGGGATAAATAATGTTGATGCGTTTTCGAGGTAAAAACCAACAATTAACTATCCTAAATGGTTTGAACTCTTTCATTTTGACCCCTTCCTGTTAACTGTCACTGTCACGAATCTCCGCATTTATAAGCTCTTCGGGGCGTTGGAGTGGTTAAAGCGTTCGCTGGTCGCGTCAAAAGCCCGGTTCGATTCCCCACATGGGTACAACGATGACCATGTCTACTGTCCCCGCCGTGATATTGTTGGAATATTTAGTTGAAAGGGGTACAAAAGTATTCTCACCCAGTTCTACAACTTGAAGTTTTGTCTCAGGAAAACCATGAGTGATGTAATGAATAAGCCCAGTTTAGATTCCAAACTGCGGTTTTGTTGCTATATTTCCATATTTTGTTTCTATATGGTCTCAGTCACGATTTAATTTCACAAGTACCCTACACGGGCATCTAAACCAGTGCATGTACCCCTGCCAACATTATAAATGTACGGAAGCTGCGGCTGTTGTAGGTTCCACCCTTTTGACAAGGTGAGTGAGTGAGTATGGTTTTACGCCGCATTTAGCAATATTCCAGCAATATCACGGCGGGGGACACCAGAAATGGGCTTCACACATTGTACCCATGTCGGGAATCGCACCCGGGTCTTCGGCGTGACTAGCGAACGCTTTAACCACTAGGCTACCCGACCGCCCCCTTTTGACAAGGAGCTACCGGTGTCCCCCGTCGTAATATTGCTGGAATATTGCTAAAACGGCGTAAACCCATACTCAGTCACTCACTTAAGGAGTGTATTACTATGAAGAGACGTGATCGCGGTCCTAATGGCGTCTGAATTGTTAGGAATCTATTGTTCAGATGACCCGAGTTTTTAGGTAAAAGACTTGGTATGAATGTAGGAAGAAGCGAGATATACTTTTTTAACAATCTGCTGGCTTGTGCTACTGTTTGTCAGTCTAAATATCCATTAATGTTCATTCCCTGGGCCTCCCTTAGTCGCGCCAGAGATATGTGATCGTGGGTTCGAATCCCGGTTCGCCCTGATTATGTTTCTTGGTTTGTCAGCACCATAACCGTGCGGATTGGTTCACCAAAGTGGTAAACGTCTTAAACCTGTATTACTTCGGGATTCCTCCCACGTTAAGCTGACACGCCGTGATATAACTGGAATAAGGTCATTGAACCCAACTCACTCACTCACACATTACGTCTTGGTATTGGTCGTGAATGACACAGCAATATGAAATGTGATATTGATTCAAAGAGACTATAAAAGCGTCACTATACACTAAGTTAGCGGAGAGCGACACACTCTGCACAGTGTAGCTCACAATGATCAAGGGCCATACAACCCTCTAGGACTCCAGCCAAGGGTCCTTGAAACACACTTATCCCAGCATGGAGAGACCCTTTGTTTCCTCGCGGTCAATCACCTACTATAGAAGTCAATACTCCCGCTTGAAACCCCTTTTACAAGACACTACATGCAAACTCAACAGCTTGTTTTGAAGGATTAACGACTACAGGTAACAAATATGCAAATATGCACGCACTTAGCATCAGTGACGTATAGTAAAAAATTTAAACATTATGGACACCCAGTGAAACCGGACAGTACTGCAGTTAAATCGTTCGGATTATCGATAATTGCTGCCATGTTTCGACAAACATGTACGGCACCATTGTACCATATGGAGAATCGAACCCAGTCTCACAATTTGAAGAACATTGTTATAAGTAAGGTGGGTAAGTTTCTGTTCATAATTCGGTTCAGCAGTTTCCAGGTTAAATGGGAAGAGAATATTGTAGTGAGCATAGAGTAAAGTATGGGATGGAGTTTGGACTGGGATACTGGAATGGTATGTGGAATGAGAAAAAAATGGAACATAATCATCTCACAATGAAAACAAACCTTGTGTTGTATAGACCCTTATTGATACAATATCCTGAATTGTATTGACAGTACAAGTAAACAACTCCCCATTCCATTCAAAAACAATTCCATATTTACACTATGCGCTTATATTTATTTTTGTTGTTGTTTAATGCCGCACTCAGCAATATTCCAGCTTTATGATGGCGGTCGGTAAGGAATCTAGTCTTGACCAGATAATCCAGTGATTGACATCATGTGCATCGATCCACGCAATTGGGATCGATGACATGCATCAACCAATTCAGCGAGCCTGACCACCCGATCCCGTTACTCGCCTCTAACGACAAGCACAGTCGCCTTTTATGGCAAGTATGGGTTGCTGAATATTTATTCTACTCCCTATGCGATAATAGAGTATGCAGAGCACCAGTTCAACAGGGGTGAGGGTGACAACATCAACGCACGGCAGAAGCCCCTCTTGAATTATTGGGTGCAGCCTGAGTGGTTTTCCGGTTATAAATAACTTTAATACAACCGTCATTCACATGGGGGCCAAAGACAATTCCTAAAATTCCTAAATAATATAATTTAAACTGACACTGTCATATCACGGTTTCATATCACAACAAAAATTTTGTTTATGCGTAAATCTTGCTTCACGGACAAACCTATGTGATCGTTGAAAGGAATGTGACTCGTTTATCCGTTAATTAATATTTTGGACGATTTGACTGAGAAAACTTAAGTCCGGAATAATGAGGATTCACTGCATGATAGCAGAGTTTCAGATTCTGCGGGTTAGTTCCTTCCTTCCTCCCTATAACATCACCACACCACCCTCCCTACGTCACTATACCATTCACTCTACAACGTCAACACACCACCCTTCCTCCGCCACTATACCATTCACTCTACAACGTCACCACACCACCCTCCCTCCGCCACTATACCATTCACTCTACAACGTCAACACACCACCCTCCCTACAACGTCAACACAGCACCCTCCCTACAACGTCAACACAGCACCCTCTTATGCAACGCCACCAAACCACCCTACCTACAACGTCAACACACCACCCTCCCTACAACGTCAACACACCACCCTCCCTACAACGTCAACACAGCACCCTCTTATGCAACGCCACCAAACCACCCTACCTACAACGTCCCTAACCACCAACCCAAACCACCACCACCCCCACCCACCAATCACAATTAACCCACCCTCTCTTCAACGCCACAGCCCACTCTCCCCTAACATAATAACCCACCCTCCCCCAACATCACGACCCATCCAACCTCAACCTCACAACCCACCCTCCCCCCACATCACAATTAACCCACCATCTCTTCAACGCCACAGCCCACTCTCCCCCCACATAATAACCCACCCTCCCCCAACATCACGACCCATCCAACCTCAACCTCACAACCCACCCTCCCCCCACATCACAATTAACCCACCATCTCTTCAACGTCAGAACCCACCCTCCCCCAAACTCACAACCCACCCTCCCCTCACCGTCCCGATCCCCCAAGACTTAGTTCACCCAGACCTCGGCGCACGATCACAAGCATGAAGGACGTGAGTACAGATTTATAGGCGCCGCACCCAGCAGGGCACGTGTGGGGTACAGACTACGGCGCAGCCAGGCACTGTATGGACATAGGACTCAATGTGTTCCTGGCCTGATAAATCACAGCGATATTTCGATCTGTACAAGAGGCAGGGTTGAGTCTGTGGCGTGAAATTGATTGACATTGCAATCGGGCGGATGTTTATATGTAGAAAGGTTAAACACATACTTGACACCGTGACGTCGGGATCAGGGGTTGTAAATTCAGGAAACTTGCAAAAGCAGCCATTGCAGCCAATGGCACTGCGAACCCTTAATTCTTATAGGTATACGTGTCCTTATACCTCAGTGCAGCAACAGTGAGTGAGTGAGTTGGGTGTAACGCCGCTTTTAACAGTAATCCAGTTATATCACGGCGTGTCAGCTTAATGTGGGAGGAAAGCCCGAAGTGATGCAGGTCTCAGACGTTTACCACTTCGGTGAAACCCACGAGCACGGTAATGGTGCTGACAAACCTAGAAACATAATCGGGGCGAACCGGGATTCGAACCCACAATCATAGGTTTCTGGCGTGCCCAAAGGACACACAGTGCAGCGATAGGATGTCTACAGTTCAGTTGTACAGGTGGTATTCTGTGTCAGAACAGTAAGGACTGACCTGACGTGCACAAGAACGTGTACACTTGAAAACTGAATATGACTGAAGAAATACTTTCTGGGGTCTTTGTCCTGCCTCACAATGAAGCACATTAATTAACACATGTGGTGTCTCCTTGGGCAAGTGACTTTGTTTAAAATGTGCCTCTGTTCACCCAGCAGTGAATGGGTACCCGGTAGGATGAGATGGCTGTTAACCTTCTAGCGCCTAAAAAGCAGCTTGGGGTGTATACTCCCAAGGGAGCTGAGAATGATTCTTGAGTGCACACTGATCCAGTTACCAGGGTAATAAAAGTGTTTTAAGCATACCCCTGTCTGGTGTGGAAATATGCGCAATATATATGATCTGTTACGGTGTACAGATTAAAATTTTAAAAAAGCAGCAAAGAGGGTTTGGGTGATCCTAGCACAGTCAGGCTGGTTAGGCTGATCATCAGCTCAGGGCCCTTGCCCCCTCTACACGCAGCCCAGACAGCGAATGAGACTTCTCCCAGAAAGCGCTGTCTAGTCAAACCCGACCAGAACTTTCCGGAGAATGTGAAGACTCCCCAACACTGCAGCCTTCTGCATTACCCAGATTGTCAGAAGGGCTGTATTCCTAGAAGCAAACCGGGGTACTCTCCCAATGTCAGTCAACAGATTGGGAGGTACCAAACCTAAGGCACCGAGAACAATGGGGAGTCGGACAACTTGGTACTTGGGATGCAAGCGTGACATTTCGAAAGCGAGGTCCGCATATTTGCCATGTTTTCCCTCAATCGTGTCAATCACATTACTGTCAAAAGGGACAGAAAATTCAATGATATAAATGATTTCAATGGATTTATCAAAAAGGACAAGATCACATAAACTCGATGCAGTGGTCGTTCAGATAGTCTCTACTTTAGAAAACTGAGTCTGGGCCGATTTGATATGGCCCTTCGCTTGGTTGACACTCATTTCTGTACCGTCCAGCAGTACAGAACCATTATCATTATTATATAATCAGTCGCCGAAATACTGCAAACTATTATACACGTATCAAATACATTATCATCGAATAACCATTTCTTGTATTTATTTACCATTTTTGTGACAACTACGAGCACAGGAATTGTGCTGCCAAACTAAGGATCATAATCGGGGAAAGTTGGATTGGAACCCAGGACAGCTGGTGTCGGCATCCATCAGTAACAGTGTGTTGGTGCACAGGGGACTGAATCAATAAAATATTTTTTGGGTAAAAACGGTATATATACATATTTGGGTTGCTTTATGAAAAATGAAAAATATTGTAATATATTTAACATTGGCTTTACCCCACGTAATTACCGATTCAAGATTCAAGACCCAGGTGCTTACATTGGTGGGTGACTGTATTGGTCGTTGTCTTCAGCATCAAATCCTTTGTCTCTGAGGAAATACTTGTAATTGAATATCAAATAACTCCGCTCGCAGCTGTATCTAATTCATTTTGTGCAAATTCGTATGAACAAATACTTGTGAAATAATATGTACGTTTTTCTTTTTTCTACCCGATCCATGTAATCATACTGGATGTCAACGGGCCATTCCGGTAAGTGTCGAAACCAAACTCCGTAGAGTCATGGACGCGATGCTCCCCGATGACGTAGAAACTAGTGGCGTCACAGCCTATGGGGAAACACGTGTTCGTCACAGCAGCCTCGTCCACCCACTATCTGGAATCCCAAGCATGACTGCAACACTTCTGCCAATACGTTCCACCTCACATCAGTAATTATAGACTAAAACTTAGTCAATGAAACATGTCTTGAAAATAATAAAAGTTGGGTTTTTTAAAGAACCCTCTTCTGCTGTTTCCATGTGGAATCAAGCAAACTAGACTTGGTCAGTTTGATCTAGACTTACCTAGGCTTTAAGTAAAAAATAATTCCTAAAAAATATTAATTCCACAGTAATGGTGCAGGACTACAGTAATTACTCCTTGTCTCCCATGACCTTGTGTTAACGCGTCTCATGGCTAAAATGGATACAATTATCATTAAACCGCCCATATGTTAACAGAAATCAGAGGGCCACTGTAACTTGATAATGCCCTCATATTTCTTGACGACGGGCCATTATCACGCTCGTTGTTAGGTGGCGGGATAGGTGACGTCACGTTCAATAGTGACCTCATCTGGTTTGTTCTATGACGTTTCCATATTTGTAAAAGTGGGTCAGTGACATTCGTGTTGATTGCAGTAAATGTTTAAAAACCGATATTGTTGTTTCTTTTAATTTGAAAACAAATTCCATCCATTTTGGCTATAATAACGGTAACGCTTTTTTTCAGGGCATTATCATTTGCAGAAGCCCTTGGTCTTTTCAACTGCCCTCCTTCGAAAAATAGCGTTACCCTCGTAGTGAACGTCTTCAGGTACGGCCAAGTTCAGGCATAACAGTAAACCTTATAAAGGGATATGGGTATATTATTAGATTTAAAGGGCCCTATGACTAAGGCACATTCGGGAAGGTCATTTACAGTCGTAAAGCGTTTGTTGTAGAGCGTATGCAATTTATCTCCATTTTGCCTCCCTAAATTGCCATTGCAAGAGTGAGTGAGTGATTAGGTGAATAAAGCTTTAAGCGAAAGTTCTGCAATAACACGGCAGAAACGGGCTTCGGGCAGATCGCATCGGGGTGAGAGTGTTCCCGCTGCACGTGAGTGAGTGAGTGATTGAGTGACTAAAGCTTTAAGCGAAAGTTCTGCAATAACACGGCAGAAACGGGCTTCGGGCAGATCGCATCGGGGTGAGAGTGTTCCCGCTGCACGTGAGTGAGTGAGTGATTGGGTGAATAAAGCTTTAAGCGAATGTTCTGCAATAACACGGCAGAAACGGGCTTCGGGCAGATCGCATCGGGGTGAGAGTGTTCCCGCTGCACGTGAGTGAGTGAGTATGATTTTACGCCACTTTTAGCATATCCGAGCAATATCACGGCGGGGACAGCAGAAATGGGCCTTACACATTGTGAAAATTTAGGGAAAATAACCCGGGTTTTCGGTGGGACGAGCGAAAGCTTAAACCACTAGGCTACCCCACCGCCCCTCCCGCTGCACGTGCTGTCGTATCGGATGAGAAAACTCGCGTGTTACGTGTGGAAACCTCTGACGACAGGGTTGCTGAAGAGCTGTTCTAATCCGGGTCAATGACCGCACAAGACTATAATTCAAGACGCTTCAAGCACATTTTGCCAGGAGGGACACTTACAGATATCTGTTTCTTCTTGACACAAAATTAGATGTGCTGCCATTGTGATGCAATGGATCTTTAGATGTATACATATGTAATACTCGTTGTACGAAAAATGGGAATGTCGAGAGATTAAGCATGGGGTATTGAAGTGCGGCAATATCCATGATACATTGTATATTCCACACAGGTCCAAGAGGGGCGGTCGGGTAGCCCAGTGGTTATAGCGTTCGCTCGTCACGCCGAAGACCCAGGTTCGATTCCCGACATGGGTTCAATGTGTGAAGCCTATTTGTGGTATCCCCCGCCATGATATTGCTGGAATATATGAAAGGGCAAATAGCTATGGAGATTTTATGAATGGACCACTGAACATCAGTGATGACACCAGGTGATCGCCAAAAACCGCCTGCAGCACTTTGCTCGACTGAGTCTGACCATGAACGAAGGTTTATCGGCATCATGGATTGCAGCAGCGGGGTAGAGCAGTCGGATTTCCCAGCACATCCTTCTTAGAGGCAAGGGACTTAACTGACTGTTTCCAGTCCAGTTTCCGCCCTTGCCGAACTAAGCTAAAATTTCGCAGCTCGATCGCAGCGACACCAGTGGTTATGACGAGTTACGCCCCTTCTATGTCCATCCTATTTACCAGTCAGATTTCACATCTCAAATCATTTGCCTTTGCTTAGTAGGGACGATCTGATCGATGATTAAGGCTATATTGTGATATAACGCGCCTTACTTCGCGAAGTGCATCAAGTCACGTGAGAGCCCTGATTATAAACATGAAAATATCTGTTGACGCTGACTTGGCGGTACACATGCGTTGCAAATCTTGCGATCGGCTTAAATCTCGACGAGTTTACGAACCGGGGATCGATTCCCGGCCGCGTCATACCAAAAGACGTTAAGAGATGGTACTTGTTGTTACCCTGTCTGGCGCTCGGCATTAAGGGGCTAAAACCAGGTCTGGTCGGCTCGGAGTCAGTATACTTTGTCTGAGTGGGGTATTCATGTTAAACTGCGGCATGGTATCTCCGTGGGCTATCACTATAAATTGGCATCAGTCCGGACTAGCACCGACAGCCACACCAACACACACACGCACACACACGTGCATGCCCGTCGCTATATAAGTGCAATAATCTTGGACGCGACGTTACTCCCAATTTCACCTAACCTCACCTCACCTCACCTCACCTCACCTCACCTTTAATATTATTCCAGCTATGTAAATAATCGACAGACACGCAACTAATATTCGATGACATGCAATATACCAAGTCACCGAGTCTAACCATCCGATCCACTTCGTCATCTCTTGCGACAAGCAGGGGTTGCCGGGGACCCATGCTCTTACCCCCAAATCCGCACGGGTTTGTGTAATTCAGCCACCATTGAGTTACATTAACCATTATTGACGTAATACAACCACCAGTGACGTAATACACTCGACAGTGATTGACATTATGAGCATGAGTGAGTGAGTGAGTGAATATGGTTTTTCGCCGCTTTTAGCAATATTCCAGCAATATCACGGCGGGGGGACACCAGAAATGGGCTTCACACATGGTACCCACGTCCCGGGTCTTCGGTGTGATGAGCGCTTTAACCACTAGGCTACCCGAGGAGGTGGGGGTGAGGGGAGGACACGCCTCCTGAATGTAGTCCTTTGAGTGGGCTTGTTAAAAGCTATTATTGAACAGTCAAAACTGAAAAGATTGAAGTCAATTTTATATAAACTTTATTCTTATAAAAATTCAATCCAAAAATCAATTGGTTTGAAAGCGGATGCCATCTTGGTCACGTTGTTTTCCGTCTGGAAAAGGTCATTTCCGGTTGATGAGGTCACTTCCGATCTTCTGGAGCCACCAGTGGGGAAATGCTGTCACTCAGTTCCCTGTCCTGAAAGTTTAAGGAGTGTACATACATATATAAGATATAATCGCAAACAACAATGAAGAACGATGTTCGGTTTATTTCACGATAACAAGTTGTTCTATCACAACGTCATTTCTGGAGATTTCTGCACGATACGCATGCGCAGACCGATGTTGTGACGTCACCGCTATGTTCAGTGGTAAAAGCGGAGAAAAAAACATAATTACTCCCCCTTTGTTCAGTGAGTGAGTGAGATGTATTAAATATCGCTTTTAGTCATATTCCAGCAATATCACGCCGGACACATCAGATATGGCCTTCACACATTATATCCATGCGGGGAATAGAACCCAGGTCTTCAGCGTGACGAACCAACACTATCGCCACTAGGCTCAACACTATCACCACTAGGCTAAACACTATCAACACTAGGCTCAACACTATCACCACTAGGCTCAACACTATCAACACTAGGCTCAGCACTATCAACACAAGGCTCAACACCATCGCCACTAGGCTCAGCACTTTCCCCACTAGGCTCAACACTATCACCACTAGGCTCAACACTATCGCCACTAGGCTCAACACTATCACCACTAGGCTCAACACTATCAACACTAGGCTCAACACTATCAACACAAGGCTCAACACAATCGCCACTAGGCTCAACACTATCAACACTAGGCTCAACACTATCAACACAAGGCTCAACACCATCGCCACTAGGCTCAGCACTTTCCCCACTAGGCTCAACACTATCACCACTAGGCTCAACACTATCATCACTAGGCTCAACACTATCAACACTAGGCTCAACACTATCAACACTAGGCTCAACACTATCAACACAAGGCTCAACACCATCGCCACTAGGCTCAGCACTTTCCCCACTAGGCTCAACACTATCACCACTAGGCTCAACACTATCATCACTAGGCTCAACACTATCAACACTAGGCTCAACACTATCAACACAAGGCTTAACACTATCACCACTAGGCTCAACACTATAGCCACTAGGCTCAACACTATCAACACTAGGCTCAACACTATCACCACTAGCGTCAACACTAACACCACTCGGCTCAACACTATCATCACTAGGCTCAACACTATCACAACTAGGCTCAACATGGTCCCCCTTTAAGTGTGATGAAGAAAATGACGTGTACGTCAAAGACACAGCCTTGCAGTTAGTACCGCTTTGATTTTAGAATCCTCTCTCTTGTCTGCTGGACTCTTCATAACACTGGCCCCGCCTATCTTAAAGAAATGTTTCTCCAATACAATCTACAAGATTTTAGGTTTTCGTAATAGTACAAGAACAAGACCAGACCCACCTCGACTAGCTTGTAGCACTTGCAGGCGCTCTCGACGCAGACGCCGATGCCGGAGTTGCAGAGGGTGGAGCAGTCCACATGTGAGGAGCAGAGTCGGTTGGTGATGACGCAATAGCAGTAGTACTGGTGGCAGACCGGGACGCCCCAGACACAGCTGCAGTGCTTGTGATCCGTGCACTCCCACTTGTGATTCTCTACAAGTGCATACAGAGTGAGTGAGTGAGTGAGTGAGTGAGTGTTTG